GCAACAACCACAAAACACACCAAAACTCACAAACGTGACAAACCAACTACACCATTGTGATCATCTCAGTCCCACGATCACAACCATGTCCTTGAAATCTGGTGTGGACGAGTTTTGACTCACCAACTCGGAAGGTCGACTCGACGAGTTCGACATATCGATTTTCAGGCCATGCATGGCTTAGGTAAGCCTTGAGAAACCCTTAGAACTTTCATTTCACTTCTATGGGTTGTTATTGATCCTTTGTTTGTGTTTTTGAACGTGTGGTTTTACCCAGAAACTCGAGAAGAAGGAGAACCTACCATTTTTCACTCAAGAACCATGGCCATTTGATCACTTTCAAACCATGTTTCTGGTCAACCTCGACCATAAATGGACTTCTTCTAGGTACAAACTTGTTCTCTACATTCCTAACTTCAAAATGGATTTTGAATCACTAATTTTGGTTAAGTAACGATTTAGAAATCAACTTTGGAAGTTGGGAAGAAAATTTTAGTTTTTTGGAAAATTTCAGCCGTGGTCGTTTGGCCACTTTCAGGCCAAATTTCTGATTAACGCAAACCATATTCAAACTTTCTGTAAATTGGGATCGGTAGATCACATTCCTAGCTTTAATTTTGCTTTTGTAAAAGTGAATTTGGTTGAGAATCGAGCTCGGTAGGGGCTCTGGAAATTGGCCCAAAAATCTGCAAAACTGCAGATTTTCGCGAAGAAGGCGAGTACAGTGTACTCGCGGGGGCGCGTGGGCAGCCACTTTGGGCGGCGCATGGTTGATACGTGTGTGTTCGTGTCGTCGAGTAGATCGATTTCATATATTTATATCCTATGTTTGAGCAAACTATGGGGGGTTTTATTTAGGTTTCCGTTATGTACTTTAATTAATGTTGTTTAGTTATTTCACATATAGGGAAAACTTATTCCGAGGATTTTCGAGGCCAAGCTAGGTTCGGGGGCTACGACCCAACAACGTACTTGTGAGTGAGCAGTTGTTTTATACCTATATATATTTATAGTTTCCATAAATGCGTATTTACTTCACTTTTACGCCTATATTGCCTAGTATCATTATTGTGATATAAATTGTGATAAATGCTACTATGATTGTGATATTACTGTCATGGCATTCATACATACTTATATACATGCTCATCTTGCTGCACCCGGTGTTAGTACTCGCCCAAGGGCCAGGGCCAGTCCTTCACGTGTATGTTCACATCTGCACCGTTCGCTCACCTTGGATCCAAGTTTAGGTGCCAGTCTTGTCGGGTAGATTGCATTAGGCGATCCGACTTGTATGTGATGTGCTTTTGCACCAATCTTCACGTGATCGCAGTACTAGAGCATATTGATTACACCCAGTCATGTTCGTGTCAGAAACCATTTGTTCGAACTTGTGTGTCAGCTTAGATGGATGAGCACTTAGTTATATTGATTATCACATGATTATTATTGTGGCATATGATACATCATTTGCTTGGCATATTTCTGGTTATATGGCTGATATATTGGATTTCATACTTACGTAGTATGTTTTGAGGAAACTATACTTGTTTTACGGCGAGGGGTTAGTATATTCAAAGATAAAGGTTTTCTTATAAGCATTGTTTTGCTGACCACCTCAACTTTGTTTTTCGCCCTTCAGGACCTAGATAGTTGTACTCTCTGTGGCACTCGAGGAATCACGGCAGTTCTGACATTTCCTTCTGTTTAGACGTACGAACTTATCACTATTATGTAATAAGTGTACTTTGGTTGCTTTGACTACTCTTTCGTAGTCTCCCTTGTCTATTACGCTCTGAATAATTGTAGTTGGCGCACTCTTTCACTGTTTAGTTCTAATTAGTTTTAATTTTATTCACTTTTTGCATCACTTATCCTTATGGTTACGTCACCTCATGGTGACGGCTAGCATGCTTCGACCTTTCCAAGTCGGGGTGTGTCACATATTCATCAAGTTGAAAGCATTTGCATACCGTGTAGCACTCACTTTAAGTTAGCAAATAGCAAATAGTTCCAACAAGAGGGGAAAAGAAGATATTAGAGAAGGTAGTAACGCACTTCTGAAAAATAGAAACACTTGGCAATGGAAGTGAGGACAAAGGAGTAATTTCTCAATCTAAAGGAACTGACAACAATTTAAGTACCTCCATTATCAAATGTTTCTGGAAGGATGAGCATAGCTGCATACTTGTTTCTTTCATGTAGTGGGATGTGCAATTTCTCTGTGAAAATAAAATCCCAAATAGCATGCACATCTTCAAGTACCTAAAGAAACGGCAAAATGTAATTGAGATTCAGTATTTTCATGAAAATTATAAATCAAATTACTTTTATGCATCAAAACTTGAATTAGTACATTTTGTCAATTTATTGTGATGATTCCTACATATGTAATGTCACCCAAAAAAATTTCATGTGATGGTGTAATCAAAACCCATGTGAAGCTGAAATTCTACAATTGTAATCTAACCAAAGTTAATTCCTATTTTTAGTTAACAAGCTAATGAAGATTTACATTAAATTTAAGTTAAATTGTGATGATTTCTACAATTATAATGTTGGCAAGAAAATTTATGTTAAATTATGAGGTGACAGAATCTATGGAGAGTCTCAATTTTAAGAGAGTCTCCTTAGCATTCCTCTTTTAAGTAACTTTTATAAATACATATAATCCACCCAATGGAGTCTCAACCAATTCAAATGAATATTTTTTCTTCTTCCTCTATCAAAACAGTCATGCCACCCAAGGTCAAATTGCAAAGCCAACTAACTGAAAATATTCGTGCAAAATTGTACAAAAAGTTGTGTATGCTTTAACTGAAGAAGAAAGCATCAATTAGGCAAGAAGAAGAAGGCAAAACTGAGAATGACAACACATAAATACCAAGGGTTTCATGCCAAGAAGTTCTAAACCTACTTGAGAAGCTAAAAACATTTTGGCTTCAACAAGAATATGTCTATATCGATAAGGTATTGTGTACCGCAAACTCAAAGACATGGTATTAACTCTAAAACATAAAGTACTATGCCAAACCTGAAATTGGTACTAGGCGAAATATCCTATATATAAAAATTATAATTTGCTGGATTGACTAGTCAATCCTACTAGTCAACTAAGATAGATTTGTTAGTCAATAAATCAAAGATTCAATAACCAATTTCAAATACCAAAAGCTATCCTAGTCAGCAAGGCTTTAGTTCGTTCCAAGTTATTAATGCGTTAAGTGAGCATGATTGTGAGCACATACCAATTAAATATTCAAGTGATACACGTAGCATGCATATGTATGTGAGATATGTGACACAAAATAAATAACTTTGAATACAAGATATTTTTGGCCAGAAAAACCCACCTCTGGTTAAAAGCCAGGGACTCTCCACTGAGTCTCATCCATTAGTATAATCAAGATTCTTACAAAGTACCACATAAAGCTCAATTCCAAGACCTAGTCTATGGAGCAACTTTACCTTTATGCAACCTTGCCTTACACAAGATGAATTCCTTCAGTCTTCACGAAGTGGCAGCTCCTTCTGAGCTCTTCACCTTGTGGCACCGAAAATATGTTGTCTTCAGTCTTCACAAGATGACAGCTCCTCCTAAACTCTTTACCTTGTGGTACTGAGACCAACACATAAGCTATGCATATGATGATATAGCAATGATATGCAAATTTGGATTCAAATGTCCAATCAGTTTCTCCAATCAAACTGTTGAAGGAAGAAACTGACGAGAATCCTAAATTGGGTCAGTTTTAAAGATTTGAAAATAGAAACACTTGACCACAAATTTAATGCAAAACCAAAGACAATGCAACCCTATTCTTCAATGATTTGGTGTTTAATGCATGAAAGAAGGTTTTGCAACTAGGGTTTTTAAGGAAACTAGAATAGGTCATTTGTATGGACACAAAACTGCCCACATACCTCATTCTCTGATTTTGGCGCTCACCACTTTCTCTGAAGGCATCATTAACGTTAAAAAGAAAAAAAAAATAGAAGACATCAATAGTGTTTTTCAACTTAAAAATTCAATTATAATGTGGGATTACGTAGATTTGCAGCCATCACCTTTGTTGCAAAAAATGACAGTGACTTTAACTTATTTTAATAATCAACGAAAAAATAAGTTTTACAGCCATCACCTTTCTTGCAAAAACTGCCCACATCACTATTGATGTCTTCTATTTTTTCGTTGATTATTAAAATAAGTTTTACAGCAAACAATGTTTAATTGAACATATCAAGTTAAGAGTAAAACTTTAAAATATATCAAGTATCACATTGATTGTCAATTTAAATTTTATATTTAAAATTTAACATCCCCCTTTTAATTCTCAAAAGCTATAAGCCATACAAATAAACAAACACATTGGAAAATTAGGAAAATAAAAACAAAGGGAAAAAAGAAGAAGGAGGGAAAACCCAACAGAATTGCAGATAGAGGCCCACAGAACTAAAGGAAACCAGGCCGAGTTAACTGCTCTCGGCTAGCCTTTGGTCCTTTTGAGCAGTTGCCATGACAAAGTGGATGACGTCCCATACTCAACTTACATGAATGTAATAACGATAATTTAAGTGAATGATTTTACAAAATTAATGTAACATGCCAAAAACATCTATGGCGAAATTTTACCAGTCTTATGACAACATTAAACCGGGTTCAAACCATATTAGATCTCTTTGTATTTATAATTGTGACCCGATTAAAAACTCGTAAAACAAATTAAAAAAGTAATCGAAAAAGATAACGAGAAAACCAAACACACATCCCGAGGAATCAGCTACAACAAAGCAATGTGTACATTAGAGAAGCGCAGTGATCTCTTCTTCCTAACCCTCACCAACGATGATGACCACTGCTTAGGCCTCCCAATCATCGACTCCCTCCTCTGTTCTTATCCAATGGCGTTGACCTCGCCTGGGCCAATCCGCCGGCTCCGCCTCCTCCATGCCTGAGCCACGATTACTTCCTCATGAGGCGCGACATAGGTGTGTTGTCCATGAGTGAGGTCAATTTGGGGTTGCCGTTCCCGGACCACTTCATGGCGGCGTTCCGGTTGAAAATCGGATTGGTATCGGGCATGAGTGTTACGTACTCAAGCCAAGGGAAGAGCCCAACCCAAAAGACTAGTCCAAACTAGTCCAATAGGTGGGAGGACCCCTTGCATTTAAGTACCACTACATAATTTCTTGTGTAGCTGATGTGGGATCATAACATTACACCACCCTTCGGAAGATCCGACACCCATGGCAGCACCAGTCGCCAAGTCCCTTGAGTACCTAACACTGAGGGACGTGATGCTAAGGGGATGAAGGCGAAGGGAGACGAGGCGGTGAATATGGGGATTGTGGAGTCAGCACACGAAAGCGCGGAGAGCACGGTGGAGGCCACGATGCGCCTAGGGGAGGATTTAGGGAAAGAGGAAGTGGAACGGCGACATTTTCGCGGAGATCAGGAAGAGCTTGTATCCGGGGTTGTTGGAGTGGCGATTGCTACTCCAAAGGCAAAGCTTTGAGTTTGTCATTTTCTCCGATTTGGTGGGGGCACTTAGAGAATAATATGAAACTTAATAGGTTAAAATTGAAATTTGATGATTTCAGTGATTCAAATGTGCGAATCAATTTGTGTAGGACTGCAAGAAAGCTAATTGGTTGGAGACTTTTAATATGAATTTTTGCTCATTGTTTATCCTGTGTATTTTTTTTTTTTTTTGTCAATGTTTTTGTGCATCTAGCTACTTTATGTTTTTATCCATGTAGTGTATTTTTTTTATTTTATAAGGAGAAAAAGACAGAGGGAAACTAAATTGTTATTAAACTTGTTAAAAATAGGCTTATTTACTCTAAAACTCTTATGAAACTCAACTTTCCTCTCACTTTGCTTTTATGAAATTCAAAACTTCTCACTTTATCCCCCCAAGTGTCTACTATGTGTTTCATTTGAAATTAATAATTGAATTGTGTTAAAATTTTCGTTAATAAGAGGGAGGTCATGGTCGGGAAGAAAAGCTTTTTGTGTTTTATTCTTTCTAATTTTTGTTTTTTTTTACTACATGATATTACACTACTACAAAATTGGCTTAATCTGTTGGAGAGTGGTTGCGGTTTTATACTATTACTGTTGAATAAAATATTTCCGACAACATGTTTAAATAGTGTCGAATAATAAAGTACTACTGTCGCTTATATTAAACATTAGTTCACTACTTTTCGACAAGAATAATGAAGTGGGCTCTTAACTCCACCAAATTTATCTATAATTTTAACCAATTTTGGTGGATATATTTGACATGAGTAAGTAATGTGTCAGATTATATTATATTATTTTCAAATTTTGTATACTATGGCGATTATGGCCGACACAAATATTATTTTATTTTTTTAAAACTAGGCAAACTTTGGGAGGGAATTTTGGGCTGGATATTTCCCACCATACTTTACATTGAAAAGAGTGTTGTTGGTTCTAACTTCTATCCAACGACAATAAGAAAGTGTGTCGGATAAATTTTTTATATTTTTTATACGAAAAAGATTGATGTCTATTTTGAATGACAGTACTACCAATTCTACATAATAAAACCCCTCTCTCTTCCGTTGTCATCTCCCTTCCCTAGTTTCTTCTCCTTCCTGCTACATTCCTTCCCCCTTTCCTTCTCCTCTCCTCCTTCTTTCCTTCTTCTTCTCCCCTTCTCCTTTTCCCTTTCTTCTCCATCACTCTCTCCATGACAGTTGCCAATCTCATCTCCCTGTCTTCTCTCTCTAGTATGACAACACAAGATTTATGCCAAACACCAAAAATGTCTCGCTTTCCCACTCCCGTTTTCTATCGCGTGTAAGGGATTTTGCTTATATGAGGTAATTAGTGAGGGATTTTGTTTTAATTTTTTCAAGTTAACTAAAAATTTGTAGTTCCCTAATTTTATTATGGTTTTGTAGTTTTTGTTCAATTCAATCTATTTTTATGACTAATTTGCTAATTATCAGATTTCTCATACTTTGTTCTGTTTAAACCATATTTATTTTATCTAATTTGTTAATATTTAGTGATGTTTTTGGCATCAATTGTTGTTGAAATTTTGTTAATTCATGTTTTCTCATGTGATGGACTGTTGTTCTGCAGTGAACAGCATCAAAAGAAGAAGGGGAAAAGAGGAGAAGGGGGAAGGGGAAAGGAGAAAGGTAGCACCGACAGAAGAAGGGGAAGAAAAGAAGAAAGGGAAAAGAAGGTGGGAAAAAGGAAAAGTCATCATTATGTTTTCTTTTATTTTGTTGTATAAACACTTTGTATAATGAGATATATTGTTGAAGAACGTTACCAATGGAAGCATTTATGTCCGATATGGATTTTATTTTATTTAAAAAAAAATTAGCATGGGTGTCGGATAAAGGAGCATTTTTGTTTATTTTTTATTTTTATTCAAAACATAAATTTAGTTTTTATAATTTTTATTATGTCGGTTATATGTGACAGCATTGTCTCTATATTCGACGAGATTTCTCAACAATTAATATCGCCTATAACTATCGGGAGTGTTAATTTCACTTATATCCGACACTATTTTCTTGTCGATTTTAGAGTCATAACTAACAGTAAAGCCTTTTCCTGACGCCAGCAATTCTGTCGCTTCTCTTATCTGCCATTGCAGCCATTTTTTGTCGGATTTTACTTAATATCCGACACTAATATGCATTTCTTGTTGCTTTTAGGAATGCCACTAATGAGTAGTTTTATAGTAGTGTTATTGGAGTTTAAAGTAAGAAAACACTTATGAACGCCATGTCAGCATTTTGACGGGGATCTTAACTTACTTAACAACACGGGATAAAGTGGATGAGGATCCTCTTCGAATAATCTTTGTGGGGATCCTAGGGATCTTTACATCCTAGCTGTTCATCGTACATCGTGTTGCTAGTTTTCATTAGGTACAATTTGTGTTTAATTTTAAATAATAAAATTCAAATGATTTTTTACTGAACTATGTACAATAAATGGTTAAGATGTGAGGATCCTTAGGATCTCTACAATTTGGATCCGGATGGGATCCAAATCCAGATAAAGTGAGACATATAGTAAACACTTGGGTAATTAAGTAATTTGAATTTCATAGAATAAAATCAGAGGAAAGTTGATTTTTCAGATGGCGTTGGTGTAAATAAGCCTAAAATTTAACCTAAAAACTAGTGCACGATATAATTACCAATTCAAACAATTATGCATTTTTATTCATGATAGTGGTAATGTTAACCACAATATTTATCACCGTTGAGCAAAAATATTTCTTTGAAACAAGTAGCTAAACAATCCACAGAAATGTCATTCGCGTCAAACGGAATACGCTCCAATCAATGTCAGTATGAAATGAGGTACTACAAAGTTTAGTAAGGTTTGAGGTACTAAAACTGGAGGGTCGGCCAAGGCGAGCCAACCCTATGAGGTCCCACAAATTATGTCAGCCATATGTCTTGATATCCATACGGCACTCACCAAACTAGGGTGAGAGTGGCATATTTAGCCAACTGACCCTTTTAAAAATTAATCTTAACTAACCGCCTCTTCTTTATACCACGTCGTTCCCTCGCCCCTTCGCGTTCTCGTCGATGTGGGATCCGTTGCCCAATGCTTCATTCCTAACTCAAGTTAACCTATTAACTCTGGTAATTAATGCGTGGCGTGACAGAAAAAAAAAAAAATGAAAAGATGGAAGAAGCTTGTAGTTCAATTGGCACCCCTACACTTGAAGGCTTGAGTTCGATGATGCTTGACTTACCGCTCCACCTTTCCATGGTACAAAATTGGATTTGATCTTGATTGCAAGACCTATTTTACATGATATAATCCACATATGAAAAACTAGGGTCGAGTTATTTGGAAAGGAAGAGGATCCCTTCCACCTAATCATTCTCATCAAACAACCCGTGCCCTTGAAATTTGATCAAGCCGCTAAAGTTATTATAACTTTTAGAGTGGGCCCCTATTTTTAGCCGTTTAATCAAATTTCAAATACCCAAATTGTTTGATGAGAAGGATTCGGTGGGAGGGATCCGGAGGATCCCTTTCTGAGTTATTTTCGATTACAAGAAGAAAGGTTTAAAACCATCAACAGTATCAATCACTCCATTTGAAGGAATTGCATGTAAAACCATGCAAAAAGGCGAATGATAATTTAATCGTATAAAGGCGTCTATTCTATTGAGTGAAAGTTCCATTCATGTTCAATCAATAGCATTTTTTAAAAGGAAAATTAATGAAAATAACTTAAAAACTTTGAGTTTTAATCAAAGTGACAAAAAAGTATTGTAAGTGAATAGTACCGGAAGTGAATTTTTAGAGTAAAAATGTCATTTTCGTTAAAAGTGAAGAGTACCGAAAGTATTTCGTTAAAACTTAAAAAAAAAAAAAAAAAAAAAGCACACGGGCATATCAGGCTCTCATAAGCATCCAATTTTATTGAATAGTGTACTTGAAAACTAGAAATTCTGCTCACAGTTGTAATGGGGTTGTTTTTTGAAGTAAACAAATTCATCAGAAAAATTAAACTGGGCTGAGGACTAAAGCCCAAAAACATCAAGTGGCTAAAGTCCAAATTTGGATCAAAGCCCTTTTCTGATAAAAATAAATTAGCCTCTCTGCAAGTCTCACTCTAAAGATGTGTTACTTTAGATATTGAGAACTTTAACGAAAAGCTATTTGTACTGTTCACTTTAACAAAAAACCACATTTTTACACTAAAAAGTCAATCATGGTACTATTCACTTTACCCTTTATTTTGTCCTTATCGTTAAAACTCAAAGTTTTCAAGCTCTTTTCATTAGTTTTCCTTTAGATATTCTTATCTAATCTAATCTAATCTAATATTACAGAGAGCCAGACATCAAGTTTGATGTCTCAAGGCTTCACAAAAATAATTAGACTATAAAGCCCCTCAAACAAATTTTTTTTATCTTGCATGATGTCCTGTTAGGAATATGGATAAAGGAACTGCTGCATACGCACTCATATAACTGCATGAGAAATTAAAAACCTAGCCAGTTGGTAAGCCATTTGATTCTCATGTTTGATTTTTTTTGGTTTATCTCTCTATCTTTCAAAGTTTTCTCCGTATATATGTTCTCGAATCCAACATTCTTTAATTTGGCAGATAGGTTTTTCAATTTGATTCTTCCACCCAAGACGGTGTGTAAAGAGAGAAGGCAAAGAGGGCCCCTAATCCCAAGCTCAAAATATGACTTCTTTGAGTTCTTATAATGATGCACCCTGGATATTCTCTTGCTAGAATCCCATGTTGCCTCATAGTCGATCAAACTTCTCTAATTCGCTGCGGAGTGAAGTGCACATAATCCTGAATCTTGAGAAAACCAAATTCAATCAAATAACAGTTAATAAGTAGCCACAATGGATTGTTTTAATCAAATTATTAACTTGATTAAACAACCAAGTCATCTCCTTTTTGCCTCACAAACATAAGCTGATGAAGCTTGCAAGAGGTTACAATTTGTTAAGCTTAATAGCCTTTATGCACATAAAATACCTTTTCCAAAACACCTAAATATATTTTAAAACAAAATTGAATAACTTCAATGCTTAAGCCACAGGAAGCTTATTGAACAAAGTTAACATGAAAAATGAATAAAATGACAAGCATCTCTATAAACAGCAGGAAAAAAAAGGGAAATCATCAGCGCTAAATTCCTCAACTTAACTATGTCGAGAGTTATTGGACTGAAATGATGCCAACCATATGACAGAGAAACAAATAAAAACGTGTAAATTCATAAATCAAAGTTTTAACTCAAATCAAATATTATTCCAATGAAAGTTGTAAAATGCAAATAAAACAACAAATTGTTTCAACCATTTGACTAACCGCAATGTAGACGAAGAAATCTGATACTCATACATAACTGCTCTATTTATCTCTCTGCAAATGACAATTAATAAAATGGAAAACTCAAGTATACCTTGGCTAGTTATTATTTTGGGTCGCCATCTCCAATTGCTCCAAATAAAACAGGAGGAAGCGTGTGAAGGCAAAATTGGAGGATTGTCTTGAGTTCTTGAGTTGGCACGACCACGTCTCCTAACCTGTATCGTGCTAAATTTATCGATTCAATATAGAGTGTTTAACTAAATCTTATCTCATTGGCAATGGCACATTAGAATATCAAGCACATATTTTTGTGTTTATTAATAATAAAATTTTACACTTTTAAGTAGTTATTTTTCATTTTCAGAACAACAAAATTAGGAATCGAACATAAATATGAACATCAACTATTATACACAAGTTCAAAATGAAAATTAATTAGTCATGCAAACCTTTTTAAAGTGATCGCGATTCTCATCTCTATTTGAATACAACACCATTGAGCTCAGGTTCTCAATTTTCTTAGCTTGCTTTTGCACCATCTCCTCTCTTTCAGCTTGGGCTTTTTTTTCCTCCTCCAACTCCAAAGCCATGCCCCCTCTCTAACTCAGTCTGCACAGAAAGTATGCATGTCCCAGAATACACTTGCATTCAACTAATTATAATAAACAGAAAGTGTATATTCCAAACCTGCAATAACGTGTTTTGCAGGTTGAGGATGTCCTATGCCCAACTTTTCTGAATGAGATTCCTAAAACATGTGGAATATTTAAATTCCTTTATTTTACGTAGGCGATCTATATTTATAATTAACCTGCAATTTTGGCTCAAAGCTCCTCAATTTCTTTCTTTTCACGCTTGAGAATAGCAGCATCTGTTAGAATCTGCCAGGAAGGACATACGTTGAAATAATAACAATTAAAACATATGATAGAAATAAAAGAACAATTTCTTCGTCCAACAAATACAAACTTGGGAGAATATGAAGAATTAATCCAAAAAAGATTGCAAACGAAGCCAAGAGAGAATTTAAAGTACATCGGAGAAAGCAAATAAGCTTGCAATCAATTAAAATTGCATGGCATGTATAATTAGTATGTTTAATGTCTGATCAAGACTAACAAACATGTTCAAAGAACAGGGGCGAATTATTAAGGTACCTTAATGACAATAAAGAGAAACTTTTTAGTTTCGTTTTTCCAAAATCAAAATTCCAGAAACTTTTGTGGAACAATAAACTTGATTTTAATTATGACAAATTCAAACTACAATGAACAATTTTGGTCATTAAACAGTCTACAAAGATATGTGATCACATACAGTACCACTCACTCTATCACATCTGTAATTGAAAAATCACTCTTATCACAAATAATAGATAGTATACTAAGATACAGTACCACAAATTGGTACTATCACTTACATTAAACCAATTTGTCCACACAATTATAGTTCTTCTTTGCTAGCTTACAACTTAATGTAATTGAAAAAGTTGCAGACCAATCACAAACTCAGATGGCCGCTGAAGCTTTTTCTTATTTTCCAAACCCATTTGCCTACGTAATTCACAATTTCCGTTATACGGACTTCTGCCATAGCTTTATGCATTATAATTAGAAAATACAAAACTCAATACATGTGAGATCAAGTTCATTTGAAATCATGGAAGATCAGGACCCAATTAACAAAAAAAAGTGTTAAACTATTCTAACAAAGAGCTTGAACTAAGTAGCAGCATGTAGATAAAAGCTCACAGATGCAAAAATTGAATAGTCAAACAAAAACTCAAGCTGAAAATGGACAGGAAAAAAATTGAAAGCAGAAACTTATAACCTAAATGTAAAATTAAGATTAAGAGCACAGTTGACATACTCTCCCTCGAAGTCTTCACCAAGTCAAATAGTGGACCTTCGCAAAATCTTCATCAATTGATTTTCATTGTAGCCCCTACTTTGTCGATGCTTTCAATTGTTGGAGGTTGGAGCTTGACAATTTTTTTCCTATGTTCTTTATTTTCGGTTTTCATTTTCTCTCTGCTTCCGCCAAAATGCTTCCATATGCATGTTCTCGTCCTTCTTCATAAATCTGCAACTGCAAGAAACAAAGACATACCTATCCACTATCTGTGGACGTTAAACTGTTTGATCCGGTGCAAGAAAAAAAAAAAAAAAGTCTAGTGATTGGAACCACACTACTTTCGAAAGCGGAGTGCTCCAACCGCATGGACGATTGGGAGAACCGAAACAACAATCCAAAGCAAACCAGGGAGTCAAGAATTAATCCAAATCAAACAGATATCAGTACCATGTAAATGATCTTAACTGAAACCATATATCCACGGATTCACATACCTTTGCAGAAGTTCGATATATGGGAGGGGCAGTGATGGGTGTCCTTCTCTCATGATCGCATGTAGTCAAGTTTCTGATACACACACCTGACGTAAGTTTCTGAGTCTGTACTCATAATAGGCCCCACTTAATGGGAAAAGACTTTGTAGTTGTTGTTGTTGTCCTAATTTCTAAATTTCAATCTCTTATAAACAAAAGGCAATTTTGGTGTTATAGAGAGGGACAATTTTGGTGTTATCAATCAACTCAGGAACATAACGATCATACTTCAACGGAATCGGACACTTGCCCAGAAGCTGATGCTTTTCCTTTCTCGGAATCCGACATTTTCCCATAATATTTTCTTTCTCAAAACTCGATCTACTGAAATATGAAAAACTTGATGAAAAACTGAAAAATTCCTGAATTCAAGAACGGAAAATTCAAGAACTGAAAATCAACCTAGAAGTTATAGGATGATCGCAGAAGCACCGAAGAACTTGACGGAATTTCTGAAGAAAATCTAAAGAGAAAATAAAACTAGAAGATGAAATCTAATAAAAAAGAGAAAACGGAACCACCAAAATCCATGGCGTGAGCTTGGTGGCTCTGATACCACGTTAACTACATTAAAATGTTTGGGAATTGAAGAGAAAATCAAGAAGAAATGATGAACAGAAGGATGAACACATAGATCTAGTGAAAGAGTTTAGAGAGAGAAATATGATTTGTATTGATTGAAATAATGAATATTACGCACTTTGTTTTTATACTAGTAAGCCTAACAACTCTAACCAAATACTAACAAATTTGCTAACCATATTTCTAACTGTATTGCTGACTTGTACCCTTAATAATTTTTATATTACCAGAAAGAACTTGTATAAGGAGGAGTACAATACATTATATATATTTGTCGATAATAACACCAAAGGTTTTAGAGAAAAATCCTTCATTTTGGCATCTCTTTCATCCTTAGGAGTAAGAAGTCAAGCGTGATATCTCTTATTACATGTCCATCATATAACAAAAGTTGACAAAATTTTAGAAAATGCCTCTAAAATAAACATAAGTAACAATTACAATGACTTTCAAGCCATATATAGCCATTAAAATTAACAAGGGTGGAAATATATTTCAAAACAAAGATGAAGAAAAATGGTATGTTACATGCACAACCAAAAGGATTTCAAAACAAGTTGTAATTGCTTCTACTTCAATTACACAAACCAAAAGCAAACATTGGGTATCAAGCATGCACCAAGGGACAACGAAGACGATGCCAAAGAAACAGTTGCAGAAGGAGTGAAGGCAGCGGAACACGAAGGCAAAGATGCGGTTGGCGAGCAGAGAAGGAAAATGCAGAGAAGAAAGAGAGACATTCTCTGCTCCCCGCCGCTGTCGACTCCCCAAGGTCCAGACGGCTGCTCCTGGTTCCTCTCTGCCCAGCAAGAGCACCATCCGTGAGCCCAGAGACTGCAGCGTGCACCCTCGTCTCGGCCGACAAAGGAAGGGCAACAGCAAACTGGTGACATTCGGAGACCGTGAGCCCACTGCAGTTCTCTCTCTACCTCTCTTGGACTCTCGATCAACGCACACTGCAGCCCTTCCTTCCTCGCATAACACTGCAACAACCGCCGAAGTCAGACGGAAGCCCAAACGGAGGTAGCAGCCACGCCATGTCTCCAGCCGTCATCTCCGGTTGTCTTCCAGAAGGAGCCCATGCACTCTGTGACTTGAAGGAGATGGATTTGGTGATGCAGTGTCGCACAAAGCTAGAAGAGACTGAAAAAAAGTCGCGACAACGGAGAAGAGAATCAAGAACTGCCGCAACCCCATCAGCCTACAGCAGCAGAAGACAGCCCCAAGGCCTCCAAGACGCTGCAATGGCTCTAGCGCCACTGTCGCTGTGCCTTTGCCATCATCAACACCCTGCAACTTGCGAGCTTGTGTCAAGGACTTCAACGCCACCATTACACAACCACCGCAATCAACTCCGCATAAATCTGAGCATGATGATCCAGGTGGCAAGCTCATGGATTCGTGTGGACAATTGTTGCTGTCGATACTCACGGACAGTGAGAAGGAAGAGGCCACAGAAAAGTTCCTTTTGGGACCAAACCGGCAGCCAGGAATTGCAGAAAAAATGGACGATGCACATGGATGCATAGAAGGCTTGCTGGAAACAAATGTTTATTTTTCTGTTGTTGATCACCCTCAATGTGATGACAGTAAAAGGGTTAATTGAAGGAAACCAATATAACATGGGGTTCTAAAAGTCTGTTTAAAGGTCAAAAGGAGGCTCCCAAAAAAATCTATTGCACAAAGGACTCTTTGTTTTCCTATCATTTCTATGAAGTTCGTTGCGAGACAAAGAGCACTGTTATCGTTGCTCTAAATATTCAAATGTGTTGCTGCTTCGAAGATCGAAAACACGCTGCAATTTTCTTAGAAGTCTCCGGAGCTTTCATAAGTTCCATGAAGAAAGGAAATGCAAGTGTGCAAATAGCACGTGATGACGAGCAAACAAATTGGGATGCCATGCATGCGGTTCCCTAGAAAAAGGGTCAAAATATTATTAGAAAATGGTGAAAAGATGGCAAATCATGATTGTGATCACCAAGAGGAAAGCCACTTACGTGGCATTGAAATTAAAGAGTTCAAGTAAGAAGACTTTGCTTTTTGATTTAATGCACCAATAGGCAACGCCTTTCTTTATCCTCTTTGCTTCCGCTGAGCACCGAAAGCACCGCATGGAGAACAAGTATACAAGAAGTGGATGTAAACCAAAAAGAAGCATCCAGTGCCAACTGCCTTAGTAACTCTTGCGACTTAAATATTGATCATTATGTTTGAATCTTAAGTCAAACTTGTGGAGTTTCAAAAGCACTAAGGGCTGCAGCAAGGGAGGAAAATAAGAGCTCCTCCAAAACTTGGAATGCCATTCACATGGGCTCCGTTGACTGAATATGGTCCAAGTAAACATGGAGTCAACGACGACCACGACAATTCATGGATGCAAATTACTCCAAATACCTTAGACGCGAACCATCTCAAAGCACAAAGCTGGATAGACTTGCCACCTCAAATCAGTGGATTTGAGCAACGTCAAAACAAATGGATCAAGCTCCCGTTAAATTACCGAGTTGGCCCAAATGACACGAAGGCGCAACAAATCTCAAATGGCACGAAGCCGCATCAAATCCCAAATGGCACGAAGCTGCATCAAATCCCAAATGGCGCAAAGCCGCGACAAGTCTCAAATGGCATGAAGCTGCATCAAATTTCAAATGGCATGAAGCCGTATCAAACACCAAATGGCATGAAGTCGTATCAAATACCAAATGGCATGAAACTGCATCAAATATCAAACCCTCATCGCCTGCATGAGTGGAAACTGCACAAGGCACCAAGTCAAAACCAAAACACCAAAATCATTCTTTAAGTCATTCATTCATTGATCATTCCAAAACTACGCCATTTGATTCCATCAAGGATACATAGGCAGTCTAGTGTCACATTCTAGATGCAACCGCAAAACCGAAACATCAAATCAAATCCCTGGTTCATTCAACCAACTTCATCTAGATAGATCAAACACAAAATTCCTTTTTAGTGGGTCATCCACTCACTAAAATTCCAAATACCAAAATCTTGAACAATGAGTGACTTGATCCCTTAAAACATTACGTAGGCAATCTAGGGCTTGACCTATATGCAGTTGCAAAATCAAACAAACACATCAATCCTCAAATTTCATAATTTTCATGTTAGAATCAAAGGGTATTCCTTTCCCAAAAGAAAGGTTGTAATTAATAGGCGCGTAGCCTAGAATGGGTCGAACTCAAATTAATAAAACCCTCTTCGTAAAAAATGAACGAGGGTGAAATTGTGTCGAGTGAATTATTTGTTCTCGTGACAATTTTGCTCAACAGGGGTCAATGTAAAGGGGGGCACACAACAAACAACTTTTCAAAGCATGGAGACCTATGCACTAAAACTTGCCGACCTCTATGAGTTTATGAACATAACCACAAGTCTAACTTAGCAAAACTCTAGGCCAAAGAATCAAAGTCCACGATGGTGGGTTTTCTCTAAAGGAATTTGAGAGTACACCCAAAACAATTGGCAATGGGAGGAGTAACCATACTCCCTATGATCCCATTCAAGGTTCCTTTTAACTTTCCGACGTGAGACAACTCTCCACGCACCCTCACATGTGGCGACACTCAAGCCAACATGTGGACAACATATTGGGTGACGTAGACACTTGTTGTATGGATTCACATGCAGCCGAACCTGGCTCTGACACCACATTAGAATGTAAGCTTTCGACCCAAAACCAATTACTCAATGTGGGATTCTCTTTTCATAAAATGTGAAGACTTTAATGCACAACCCACATAGAACATCATAAGCATAATCATAATCACAAATATTAATCAAACAAGTAGGCTTGTTTAACTAGAACTGACCTTTCCTCCACTGCAGGAACAAGACCTCTTGTTGAAGCCACTCCACCAACCTAAAACATACAATAAGTCATTTCTTCGTTTCTACACGAAGTAAGCAAATATAGAAACACATTGTATATCTTAGTTGACAAACTCAACAATAGTATACTGCAAAACAATTTTCTTTGGAGGTCTATACGTCAACAAACCACCAAGTGTTGCTTAGGTATCAGACAGAGAAGCTTAGTAGGTGAGGTGACACTCTAGAAACCTACCTGTTGAAAGAATGCTACTTGTTATGGCTTCTGCAAGGCCAACTTTTTCTTCTTTCTTTGGTTTAGCTGAAAAAGCTGGGTAGCCATCCCACATTGGATACCCGGTGTTCATGTTGGGAAACAAGCTATCTGACATTTCAGGTCTTCTGGGAAATTCCATGTGCCATGTATCTTCTAGCAAGTCCTCATAGTCACGAAACCTATGTAAGTAACCAATCCGATATTTATCAAGAATAAGTGATTTATCCCAAGTATTATTATGTCGCAGAGAAGTTTAACTTGGAAAACACGACTGACCAAACACCGGGAGGAGGAGGATATGCATCTGGGACCAAAACCATTGGGAAGAACAAACCCATAGGAGGGACCCATGCAAAAGAAAATTTTAAAATTTTTGCAGAAGATTATATTTCAGGACTAAAGCAGCTATAATTCACTTTAAGAGACGCACATTGAGAGCAGTTAATCTTGTCTTACGAGATCCAGCTGGCATACCATCTTCATAAGAATGAACTACACCAACAGCATCTAGTTCCCCCTCCTGTATAAAGGGAACTAAGTAATTAGAAAAGCATAACCTGAGAACCAAGGTAAAGGACCCTTGTCCAACACATTCTACACTATTTGGCCATACACCATTCGATTCAAATGACTAATATATAGCCCTTAAATTCAAGCACTCTGATAATAAACCTTCTTTCAGTATTGAGGGACTTTGACAGACCCAAATATATATTTACGTTATAGAGGACTAGCTTCACATCTGTGTTCTATATATGATTCACCATGACCTGAAATGCTTTCTTTTAACTTTTACTTGCACTGTGAAACCTCAAGTTGTGTACTAGATCTTAATATATTCTGGAAGGAAAATATGATTGGCTCTTTATTTATTTTTTTTCAAAAAGAAAACATAAAGGGGCACAAAACAAACATATAAAATGGAAAACCACCAATTGGATCAAAGTTATGAAATAAGACAATAAAGCGTGTGTGTGTTGTCTTGTAGGTAAGTCCTCACAAGATATTTACATTAATTAAAAATTCAATACAGAAATATTATACATAATTATAACCCCACTAGAGTTTAGGGTGGCCAAGAAAATCTAGAGGCATCATACACAACATCACTAAAGGCATAACCTAGTTTAAGAGAATCATCACCAGCATGATAGTGTGATACTCAACTTGCCTCTCTTTGGACGTCATGTCTACAAACAATGTTACAATTCACCTAGACTGGCGGAAGCTCTGTAATAATTTATTTGTTTTTACTTGTTAAGCATCTTTTGGCTTTTGCTTGGAAGGACTTCTTGTCCAATGTATATGTATGTATGTACTGGTGTGAATCATAACGTATCACAAAAGGAAGCTAGGGCAGATGACAGAAGATAAATCACTTAATCACATGTAGAATAATCCATGACAAAACAAGAAACAAGTAGGAGAATTAACTTTAATCTCACAATAAGACTCTTTTAGTCTGTTACGCATCAAGAGATCTATCAGCTTGGTGAACATGTCAGTACGAATTTGTGGCCATGTCTGATGATGTCTCTGAGTCCAAAGAAGGCATCTTGATATGTCCTGAATAAACACACTAATAATTTAACTTCATGAAGAAAAAGTTTAATGGAAAATGAAACATTAAATCAACATATTATTATTGCATCCTCAAGAAATAGCTACTGAGTGTGAACATTATCCTTTTACGGTTTTAGTTAACATGGAAGAGAGACAGCTACAGAAACAAGGGTAGAATATTTATTTCATTCTGTAGCTACTACTTAGTCAAAACTTAAGGAATTATAAAAAACAGAACCCACCTCTCCACCAAAAGGTAAAGTTTTCTCTGTATTAGGTAAAGCTGCTCCATCGTGGACAATAGAAGAGACAACTGATACATTATCATAAGTGGAAGACCAAAGTGGAAGACCAACTCTACCCGATTTAGGCATAATCCAGCTGTGCTATTGACATAAGACCAAAAAGGCATAATCCAGCTGTGCTATTGACATAAGACCAAAGAGCAACCAAGGGAGTTAGTTTTTCTATTATTTTTTCTACATGAGAATTTTCTAAAGGATGTCTTAAAGTAATAACACACTTGCTAAAGAAAAGAGAGATGGCAGTGACAGTGCAAAATAATCTTATTTGAGGGATTCGTCAATGGAAGCTGACACACACACACACATATAAAAGTAATTTTAGAAAATGCCTGTGAGTAACCAAGCATGCATTTTTTTTCATGTTGATTCTGAATATAGGAACAGATATGCAGGGCTGTATGGAATCATATATTTATACACACTTTTTGAGTTTCTTTCTTTGTGTTAAATAGATGGGAAGAGAAGGTATGGAAATGGCAGTTACCTCAATGCAAATAACTGATGTCACCTGAGCACCCATCTTAATGACACATGCTGTTGATAATCCATTCCCAAAAGCAGCTAGACCTTCCTGTGGTAACCAACACAATAATCATCATATAAAAAGGTGAGACCATGAAGAATCAGCGAGACAATACAAAGTTTACTGCAAAAATAGCAAATCAACAATCAAGGAAAAAGATAGTCAATAGCACTGAGAAAAAGTAGAAAAATCAAATAACTTTAATTGTGGCATTATCTCTTTGAGCATAGATTTCATACAGAAAAGAAAAGTTCCTCAGCTGATGTACCACTGCTGAGCTAAAACACAAGTCACGCAAGACTACAAACAACAATTCCTTTTTTTCTGCTTGGAGAAAATGACACAACATAAAATATAACTATTGTTTCCCAAGCCAATGTTTATATATATTCAAGCGAATAATAAATCTACATAATCAGAATTACAGGAGGCCAGGATAGATATGAATCACAGAAGCGCAAGGGAGAATTCTTAAATAAAAAACTGTATGATGAATATGGTTAAAGAAGGTGTCACTTAGTACATTTATGGTTAAAGAATGTATCACTTAGTACATTCACATGCTTTCCAAATAACAAACTGTATGATAATTCTTCAATTGCATGAAAATTTTATGAAGAGTTTCAGATTGAATTCAGATATCTAATAAAACCAAACAAACAAGCAGACACCTTTGAACTAGATAACATCAATTAGGCAAAATGATGTAATTATGCACAGAAACAAAAAACTCCACCATGATATGCAAATTATCACCACTACATATTGTAACAATAACAACAAAAATTTTGAGTTATTACGGAATGACATAGAAATGGTTAACTCACTCCGAACATTTCTATATCCAAATTTGTGTAGTCCCCTGGTAAAAATGATATCAGCTCAAGGAAAGTTATAAGCTCATTGAGAAGGATGCAAAACGGGGATCTTGATAAAAGATTTTTTGTTATAGAATAATCCACTAATCAGGAAGGATATGTGCAACTTGACACAGGCTAGTCCGGAATGAAGCTTTCTTGTTGTCACAATATACTTAGGAAAAACATCTTCGGTAAAACTAGGGGATAAGTTCAGCTGACTGACACACATATTCATCAAGTTGAAAGCATTTGCATACCGTGCTAGGTTGCACGGACACTCCAAAACCCCAAAGTGTCAGAGTATCAGACAATTCAACACTCTGACACGCCTCTGATACGCCCCTGACACGAGTTGGACACAGTCAAGACACCGGTCAACGGCTTGGACATGCCTCCAATACGCCGCCGACACGGACACGGATACGGCCGCTGTGGGGATATTTTTAGTGCTTCCTCACCATAAATGACCTTTTTGTATTTGTGATTGCCAGAGCCAAGCTCCTCAGTATCTGCACCTTCATGCTGGCTCAAACCCTCACTAGTAGTGCTTTTGTTCTCTGAACTTTCTGCATAGTAATCAAGAAAATTTCAGGAAATGTGAGCCAAAAGAGAGATGATATGGGTTGTTGTAATGGAATAACATAAAGTTAAATGCCCATACACCCAATCAGGAAAAGTAGAACAACTGGCACACAAGGACTCTTGGTATTACCTAATGCTGAAGACGAACTAGGTTCCTTTTCATATACATCTGTCCAATCCAATGCTGTGTCCTTTCTACTATTATGTGGTTTAAGTCCATCAATGTGTCCCATCTGCAATCAGCTTCATCATTTCAATGAACAAAACACATAATCACCAATGACCAAAACACATCATAAAGGTCAAGCTGCTTTTACATCGGTCTCCGTAGTGTTTAGGTCATTAAAAAAGTTTTCTTTATATCCACTCAGATCTTCATATTGAAATAAAATAAAAAGCCAAAAAAGTGATACAAATAAAAAATCACTGGTACTAGGGAAGGTGCATAGTGCGTTATCTCTATAACGATGAACATACACAATGCTAATTTCAAGCAGATAAATCTGATCAATTATCACACGTACCTTGCGTGGGTAAGAATTGTTAGCAACCTCTTTATCTATAAATGGTATCTTCAAGAACGATGCAATCTTCAAAAGGGGAGAAATAACAAAACTTCAATTCAAACTCCAAATAGAAATCTAACAAGTTAACACATAAAACTAAGCAATGTCCATATACTCACCATATCATAAGCCTTTTGGCGGTCCTTGTACAGCGTAGTCGCAACTTGAGTATTGAGCAACTGAACCCCAAATGCATTCCAAAGAAATTAAAAGCACCAACAATCAACCACAACCAACCAAACCACACGAAACAACAAATACAACGTAAAGTTACGGAACAACATGAAACCTGGTCTTGAACATTTCTCCTGTGTTCTTGTGTGGTGTGCCTCGCAATGCAATGGGGAATATTTAGAGGGGTGTCCTTCGAAGCAAGCCAATTCTAATGTTTGCAGAACCTGAACTCCCAGAACAACAACAACCCACAATTGAAAGGACCAAAATTAGGGACTAAAAATTGAATTGGGGATGGGTTTTGCAATTTTCATAATCAAGTTTGATGGGTTTTTGCTGAAAATTCGAATGGAGCTGTTAAAAACTGGGAGATTAAGTACCTGGGTTGATGACGACCAGGTTGGAGCCTCGTTCGGAGAGCAGCTGTGAAGGGACCACGGATTTCAGGTAATCCTGGGAAGTAGCAGGGCAAAAGCTTTGTAAATAATAAGAAAGAGAGAGAGAGAGAGGGAGACAGAGAGGGGAGACAGAGGGCTCGTACCATGGAGCTTCAAATGGCGATTCGCCTGCTTGATTTTGCTTCGCTTCGTGCTTACTGTCAGTCTGTACCGTGTAGTTTTCTTCTGTTTACTCCTAGGCCTACCTTTCTATTTGTGTTCAACCCGAAGCCTGGTCTGACCCAGACCGGTTCGAATCTTTTATTTTAAATTTCACGGTTACGGTTATAGGTAACCGTTTAGATAAATAAACGGTTATAGGTATAATCGTTTACCCGTAAAATTTAAATGGGCGGTTATGGGTATTACCGCGGTTATAAACGGGTAACCATTTACCCATTTATTTTATACATGTAAAATTAACACAAACTATATTCCCTATCGGACAAAACTTAAGATCAATGCTATTGACTATAGTGCATGATTTCTATAGCTAATATAATATAGTTTTCCTTAGCCACTTTACATTTCATGATTCATTATATATATTATGTTAATATTTTACATTCCGAGTCAAATAACCCAAGAATATTGTCTTTTAACAGTTTTCGTAACCCAAGAATACTTAGCAAATTTTTATTATCTTCATTGCTTAAAAATATCGTATGTAAGCTATTATTTCAATTATTGAAATGGTATACGGACTTAAAAAATTAAAATGCGGAGATGTATGATGTAATTGTTAGAAAAACAAAAATATGACAAAATTTTCTTTTTTAATTTTCAAGTTGTTAAAAAAAACACGTAGACGGGTGAAAAATGAGTAAATGGGAAAAAAAAAAGGATAAACGGTTTTAAAAAAGATAAATGGGTAAACAAGTACTAAACGGTTACAGTTAAATGGGTACACGGTTATAGGTATGGTTAACTGTTTATAAATGGTTATGGGTATGAGTATAACCGTTTAGACAATTACCCAACGGGTAAACGATTATGCGAGTATGAGAATAAACGGTTATGGATAAATAACCGCGGTTACCCGTCCGCCATAACCGTTACCCATCTCTATATACACACTAAAATTATTGGGTAAATTACATAGTAGCCCCTCAGGTTTGAGGTTTATTACAACTTCATACAACAACTTTAAAACATTTCACTTTCATACATTCAGTACCATTTTATTTCAAAATAACACATCCGTTAGATTTTTCATCCATTAGTATGTTAAATGCTGACATGGTTGCCACATTTGTGCTGATGTGGCTGCCACATGTAAAAAATAATAATTTTTTTAATTTTTTTAAAAAAAAAACCTAAATCTTCTAAATATTAAAAATAAAAAAAAAACTAGAAAAACCCTATACACTGAGCGCAAAACCTCTCCATCTCTTCCCCTTATTTGTCCATGCACACCTCCTCCTCCATCTCCGCAAAGACGTCGTCCCAGTTCCTCCCAAACCCACCATCTCTGCCACCCCAGAAGCCATCCACGTCTTCCGATATGATCGCGTCCACGATCTCCTACAGCCCCACGATTCGACGGCTCACCTTTCTCCTTGCTTCCTTCATCGCAGAGTCCACTCCGGAGACTGAGTCCAGCTTCAGCAGCAGCCGCATCAGGGACTCATTCATCCTCAGCTTCTCGCGCTTACTTGTCCTGACGGAATCGACAGTTTCCTACCGTTGGATCAGACGCTGGAACTCATCAACCTCGGAGTGGACGGCTGCGATTGTTTTGAAGTGGGTGCGGATGAGGTAGGCCCGGTAAGCCGATTGAATTTTGATGGCTGTGGTGGATTGCGGTAAGTGAAGGGTGATGGGAATTGGGGCGTCCGAGGACTGGATGGGAATTTTGATGGTGGCGGGAGGGGCAAGTTGGTCATTATGAAGGGTGTAGGTGATGGTGGTGGAGGCGGATGAGGAGAAGCTGAGTCTGCGACTGCGAGAGGGTTTCATCATCTTTGGCTAAGCCCTGGTGAATTTGAGTGAGTGTGAAAAAAAGGTGGGGGTGTGTAGAGAAGAAAATAGGGTGGGTACGGAAGGAGGGAGGGTCGCGGGTGGGGGGAAGGGCTGTTCTGGGTTTCTGGTTTTGGGATGGTGGACGTAGGTAGGGTGGGGTGGGGGAGGGGTTATCATTTTTGGGTTGCAGGGAAGAAGATGAAGATGGGGGATATGGGTTTGGGGGTTGCGGGGATAATAGAAGATTTTGGGAGTTGCAGAAGGGTGGGGGGGGAGGAAGGTAGACAAAGGAAGGGTTTTTCTAGTTTTTTATTTTAGGGTAAATTGCACTTTCATACCCCAGGTTTGGGCTCTATTTCAATTCTTTACAACATCTTTAAAACATTTCACTTTCATACCTTAAGTACTATTTTATTTCAAAATAATACCTCTGTCACATTTTTCATCCATTGATCTGTTAAATGCTGACGTGGCTACTACATATATGCCACGTGTCTGCCACATGGCAAAAAAAAAATAATGTTTAATTAAAAAAAACCTGAATATTTACAAAAAACAAAAAAAAACCCTAGCGACCTGCAAAAAGAAGAAGAAGAGGAGGGAGGAAGAAAGAAAAAAAAAAGAAAAAAGAAAATGCAACCCTATTCTTCAATGACTTGGTGTTTAATGCATGAAAGAAGGTTTTGCAATTGGGGTTTCATAAATGAAGAACAAAGAGGAAGGTGAGGCCTTAATGCTATTTTCTCTGTCTCAAGGAATATAATATGAAAACCCCAAATGAACTAAGGAACCAGCTAAGGATCTTAACCCCAAAAGCTTTGGTTCATTTTTCAACCCACATGACACATGGCAAGCTTCAAAACAATATGAAAAAATCAAGGGTGAAAAACAGACATTCGCCAGAAAGCTGTCAGTTAGCCCATGTGGGCAGGTCTTAAATTACGTGCCCAGTTTGTTGGAAATCTATGTGCAACGCTGACTGGATAACTAAGGTAGTTAGAAAGAAACATGAAAGTATATGTGAAATGTACATGCATGAATAAACCTTTTGAAGTGAGATGTGCCACATTCTTGAACATTTCTTCCCAGCAAACACAGCCCATAAACAGAGAAAAGCCTTAAAGCTAGATTGAGCATGTGGTACAATACCATGTTGACAAAGAAAGCCAAACCTAAAAGTTTAGACTTCACAAATCTTGACAAGAACAAGTGAATGGGTGACCAGCTTACAAGGGTATTAGGCACAACTGAAATTAACTGAAATGTTTCTCCCACACCTTGTCATGGTAAGACAAAGATAAGGCAATAATGTCACATGCAATTTTCTAATTTATAGCAAAATACAATACAAGAACAACAAAAGCAAAATGGATAAGGAATTAGCAATATGTCATATGAGCATGTCCAAGTAAAGTGAAGCAACAAGTAAGAACATGTAAGTGACCCAACTCCCCCAAAAATGATGCTCTTCATGAAAACACGTCCTCCATAAACCTAAATCATGACTTAATTTTCTAATGAGTGACAGTGACTTAACAGAACATGAAGATGTCCATTGACATACAAATTTGAGCATAAGCATAGACAAATGTACCCAAACAACTGAAAGCAGCTCATTAAGATGATAGAGGTCAAGATAACAATTGAATCTTTGCACCAATAAACCATAGCTAAAGCACAAGCCATGAAGGGGATAAGAAAAAGTAGTTTGTGACACACCCTGACCTAGATCGGGGGCATGCTGATTGTCACGTGAGAGTGACGTAACCATGTGCACAGTGCGGAAGCAAAATTGATATAGAGAAATATGAGTAAATAAAAAAAAAATCCAACTATTAGCAGTACTATTTAAGATAAGGTGCAAGTGCGAGATTAAGTGTGAAATACACAATCAGAGCATAAATAGTATAAGTGCAGTCCGACTGGAAAAGTACTTATTACATAACACCCAAAGGTGATCCTACAATTGTGATGTTCTATCAGAATCACCGTCGAAATCCCCGTGAGCCACCAAAGCACTTTTACCTAAAACCTAGAGGGGCGCAAAACAGAAAGTGTGAGTGGGCAAAAACAAAGCTTTTCAAAATCATTTCATTTCTCAAAAGTTCTAACCCCTCGCCGTAAAACCTGTATAATTTCCTAGAAATTAATATATGCTATATTAGAAATCATGCTCAAGATGAAAATCCATAGAAATATACCATGCCAAAGTATCTCAATGAAATGCCATAAGTAATCCAATTAAAATATATCAATGCCAGATATCATATCAGCCGTATCCACTTAACGTTACCAGTACGGCTGAGTATATGGCTCATAACCAATCTCAATCATATCAAATCCTGCACACGAGTCGGAACCACCTAAAGTGGTCTGTAAGAAAGACTAGGTGTAAAATAAATATGCTCTAGTGCTACAATCACGTGAAGACTGTGCGAATGATCACGGGTCACCTACGAGTCGGAACCACCTAAAGTGGTATGTACGACAAGCCTGTGCACCTAACTTCGATCCAAAGTGAGCATATGGTGCGGGAGGTGAACATTACGTGAATGACTATGCCCTAACTCTGGGCGGGAGCACTAACATCGGGGTGCAGGTTTATGAGCTCTCAATACATCACATCATATCTCGCATAACTGAAGTAATCTCATATCTTTAATTTATGAACTTACCTGGCACTTACCTGTGCGTCTGTAGCACCAATCATAAATATATGCAACTACTAATGCATAAATAAAATAGGTGGATACTTTACATGGCATTTCAAAACGTATAATCATTCAATTTTTTATTTTCTGGGAAAAATTTCAAGTATATAGGTATATACGGAAAACCAAAAGCCCACTCACTGATATGTCGAAGGGTCGTAGCCCCCGAGCCTCGATTGATGGTTCTCGTCCTCCGGATAGGTCTCCCCTATATGCAAAATAACTAAATAAACGTTATTTAAAGCACATGCACAAACTAGGAAATAACTTCTCATACAATGCTCAAATGGGGTGTTTGAATATACCAACGTGATCTACTCAACACCACGAACATCCCCGCCTTCACAGCCTTGATCCACACCTGCAAAGGTTGGTTTGAAGTTTGTTCGTACAATTGTACGGAAATGGAAAGAAGTCCAAGAGAGGGAATAAAGAGAGAGAGAGTCAACATGTGTGTGTGTGTGGGTGTATGTGTGGTCCAGATTGGTCCCCAACCAAAAACAAGAAAATAACTTAAGTTCCAAACACTTAGGAATAAAA